TGTTGGAAAATACTTTGCAAAGGCTCTGCAGATCTCTCTGTGTCCCTGAAACACAAGTTCCCTGGCAGCAGCTCTAGCGTGCCCACTGTGGAGGCAAGTGTGCTCTGTCCTTGTGCTTGGCCGAGCCTTTGAGCTACACGTGCTAGATCTGAAATGTGTGCCGCCGGTGTCTGTGAGCAATAATCACACCCTGACATATGTGTCAGGGTGGCTCAGTAGCTCACATCACACACAGCCACAGGTCATGAGGACTGAGGATCAAGCATAGACTGGGATCCAGGCGCCCACCTAGGCCTGACGTACTGGAATGGGCATATACTTGTAAAAGCCCCTTGTAGACATCCTCAGAAATACCAGTCAAAATGTCAGACCTTGAACACAAACCCATTCTGGCATCAGACCAGACCCACGTCCTGCCTCCTGATTCCTACAATGACAAAAGCCAGATGCATCAGAAGGACTGGCAAGACATCCACCCATCAGACAGATATGGGAGAGCCTGTCCCACAGGAGAATGGGTGCCAACTTCTAAAAGCTAGATAACCTCCAAAGGAAGAAATGCCTTCAAAAACACACATTAACATTAATTCTCATTATCCATGTAAATATCTGCTCTCTTTTGGCTGCAGAAGGTGCATGCTCTCTAGCTGCATGTGCTATTTGTGACAGTAATTGCTAGCATAAATGTGAGATGATTATTTCTATTAGGGAAATTAATATCATGATCTCTTCCTGAAAGCTGATAACAATGTTTCTCGGGTCAGCTTTACTCCATGACAAGACACTAAGCAGCAAACAGCTCCCTGCTGTCGCATTTGCAGCCCAGGCCCTGCAGCTCAGGAGCAGTGCAAAGGAACTGAAATTAGCTGGAAAACTACTCTCAACCATCCTTGCTAAATTGCCATGAAAATTTAACAATCCAAGCGCAAAACCTCTTTGCCTGTTTGCTTTCTCCATCACGGCAGAGAGAATGGACATCAAGGGATATTTTAACATACCTGTCAAAAAATAGTGTGTGTCACCTTGAGTGAAGGGATGAGGCAGTTTGCCATGCTGCTGTCCACCAAAGGGCAGCCCCAATTGCTCTGTTCTTACTGTCCAGGTCTACCCAGTGCTGACAGTTTGTGAAGGACCAGCAGGGAAACACAAACAAGACTGCAAAATATTTTTCCCCTTTGGTGAAATGGATGCACTGATAATAATTCTGTCTCTCTTTTTCTTTCACATATATAAAATTCTGAGCAACACCACTGCTCTTAGAGAGAGTAAGTGGTAATCCACGCACCCATTTTTTTCTCCTATTAGAAGGGAGCTGATGTCCAGAGCCATCAGGGAGCTCCCAGCAGCTGATGCCTTAGCACAAACTGTCAGCACACTGTGGATGTCTCACACATTTACTGGTAAAGGGTTTAAGGCTCCCCAAGTACATCAGCAAACCAATCCTTTTCCTACCTGCACTGCTCCTGTAGCAGGAGAAGGGCAGAAATTTAATTTATAGCACAATGAGAACTGCAGGACTCACCCTGAATAATGATGGAGTCTGAGGTCCCACTCACTCACAGGGATTCATAGAGCCCCTTGCAGCCATCCATCTCGATGGCTATTGAAAGGAGAAGGCAAGACCTTCCTCACGTTACAGATGGGAATGGAAGTGCAGAGAAAGATTTGTCCAAGAGGGATGGCGACACCAAGCTCAGAAGCCAGATGTACTAGGAAGTGCCTTGCCTGGCAGGCTCTGCCACCCCTCAATCCTGTGAAGCTGGGATGCACATGACAGCTCAGAGATAGGATCCAGCCCCCCAGCACAGTGCATCCAGCCGGTCACCCACCTCCTTCCACTTACCCTATTCAAACACTGGGATGGCACCATCTCACCAGCACAGCAGATGGGCACACAGCCAGGAGCACACGTCCCTGGCAGATCCCTGGAGCAGGAACACCTGCATGGAGCTCACCTAGCAGATGCAGCTACATGTTGGAGGGGCCTGGGCCATATAGCCCTTCCTGTTACAGTGTCTCTTCCTGATGGCAAACAGCTAGGTAGCTACATGGCTCTAAAATACTCAGCTGCATCTGTATCCCACTGTCAGACTGAGCTTCTACATCTTCTAAGTGAATTCGAACCCTCCTCAAGCTCTCTTCTGTATCATGCTACTCATGTCCGTGGCTGGCTTGCCATATAGTCCACACTGACCTGCAACTATTGCCACCACCTGCCTCCAGTCACACTGGCACAGAGACATCTGCAAAGCAGGCACTGGTGCTACTTGGCATAGACAGAAGTTCACCAGATACCATCCAGCCCGAGAGGGTACCAAAGGGTTAAAGAAAATGTCACAGGGCTCCCTGTTTGCCAGGAGAAAAACTTCTAAATGGTTAACCATTAACCAGCACCTAACAGGGAAGGAAAGAAAGGTCCTGTGAGGCTGGAAGCTATTTGCATGTTTGTGCGCCTGGTGCTGGGGAGATAATAAATCTTAATTAGCTCGGGCTGACTGCAAGATTACAAGGGAGAGAAGCAGAGCTCCACAAGGCTGAGCACCCAAATGAGCCCCAAGAGAAGAGAGAGGAACATGGGGAGGGTGGGCAGCTGTGTCCCCCACCCAAACCCTGCTTGAGGGTCCCATCTGCCTCCCAGCCCAAGGGACCTCAGGGGACATGGGCCTGGGGACAGAACTGTGGCTTTCTCAACTGGGCCCCTTCCTATCAGCAGAGAGGTAACCCACAGGGTGGTATTTCCTGGCTCCCCATCCATGAGGTCAGCAGTGAAGAGCAAGTAGTTCCTCCAGAGCTGAGCCAAGCATTAAAGTAGGCTACCCAGATCAGCACAGCTTCCCAGAGCCCTGCTGTGAGGGAGGAAAATGAGGCCCCACTGCTCCCTGTATAGCCATGATCAGCATTCAGCCCCCCTGCAGCTTCAAACTAGGCTAGATATTTAAAGGAGTCCATTCACAAAACCACAGTGACCCATATCCCTGCAGCACTTCCATCCTGCAGCCTGCCCTTACTCCCTCCCAGAAGGACCAAGCACCGAGGTATGGGCAGCCAGCTGTGAGGGACCTGTTTGAGGGCTTGGGTCAGAGTATTCCACTGTCTGAGGATGCAGCAGGGAGGTGTGACAGAGCTCCAGACAGAGATGTGTGGAGTCTCTCCCCATGGGTAAGTGTGAATGACAGGAGAAGGCAGGGGGCAGGGATTCATTAATCTCACCCACTTCCCTGGAGGTCCTCTCTGCACTTCACTTGTGAGCACCTGAAGTCACCACAGCAAATTCCTAAGCTTCCCTGTGCAAGAGGAAGGGGAGCAGATACAGCAGGGAAGCAGCTGGGGACCCCTGGCCAGAGGCCCCAAAGGGAATGGGGAAGACAGAAGAGCTGCCCTGGTGGCTCCCAGGCCCAGTCTGATGGCCTCTCACACAATCCTCAGAATCCTCAGAAAAGCAGCCTGCAAACCCAGTATACCTCATGGAAATGAGGGGCTAGGGAGTATGTTTTCCTCCTCTTGGGATGCAAACAGGGAGCACCCAGTCTGTCTCCCAGTGAGACTTACCATCACTTTCTCTCTGCATGCAGACTCGAGCGCTGTGTACTGTAATCCATGCTTAGCACACACCAACTAGGCACAGAGAGGGGCCTGGGGAGCGTGCTGCCATGAATACAGAGTGGGCTTGCTGGTGACAGCCAGTGCCATCCACGTGATGCTAATGAATGCAGGGCAGGGACAGGATACAGTGCTGTGGCTCAGCTCCTGTCCTGGATGGAGTCAGGAAAGAAATTCAAATGGAAATGGCTTGCTGCTGAATTAAAAAACAACAACAAAAAAAAGAAAAACTGATGCAGGAAGGAATGAGAATAAAGAGGGAGACTAGAAAGGAGGAGTACAGCTGGAAGGATGAGGAAGAGAGAAATGGAATTGGAGGAGTACAGCAGAGGAGAGATGATGGAGGAAATGCAAAAGAGAGAGATGGAGAGGAAGGGCGAGGAGAGTGTGATAGAGAGGCAGATTGAAGAGGAGGAGTGGGGAGAACTGGAGATACAGCAGGGTGATGGAGCTGGTTTTCATGTTCAGTGGTGCAGCTCACCAAAGCAACTCCCACACCTTGCTGCTGGGCAAAGACCTTCTTCTCTCATGGCAAGTGGGCAGGCATATCCTCACTAGCTAGAGCTAGAGACCCAGCTGCCTCCTCTTTCCCGAGCCGCCTTAGCTCCCAGGCTAGCCCACCTCTGAGTGCTCAGCAAGGGCCCTGCCTAGCCTTTCCCAGCCTGGCCCTGATTTACCATAGAAGTCCCCAGGACACCTGGCAGAGCAGGGTCCCCACCTCGGCCAGCACAGCCACTGTGACCAGCTGGTGACAGGAGCACTGGAGAAGGGGCATGCACCAGCATCGGTGCGGGGGCCGAACAGCCACAA